TATTTTTTATAAAAAAACAGCATAACTTTTGAACAAGGTTAAGCTTGTTTTTTTTCAGCAATGCATATACAGGTAACCTATCATTAAGTATCATTGAATTTGGTAGGAACTAGCAGTAACTAATGTGAGCTGCGTCTGTGTTTCTAAAAAAAAATAGTTGTGTAAAAAGATAAATTTAACACCGTAAAAAGTAGATGAAATAACTTTATTGAATTTGGTTTTGCTGATACACAAACTGTCCATGGGATACTTGATATCATTTTCACTACAAAATACAATCTATATTTTTCATAGTACTTTGACTATATTTGGGCGCAAACAAAACTTATTTTAAAAGATAATTTGCTTTCACGGATTTAGCTATTTGAAAACCGGAATACTACATGTTTACTTGGAGATTTCATCCTCTTTAAATGGCGAGTGCTATCTTTATTCACAATTGAGAATAAAATCTACTGATGTCCATGAAATATCTATGGTCTGAAAGTAAGTRATGTGGAAGCTTTGAACTATAAATCCAGATGCATGTATCTAAATTATGAATAGCTCTGGCTTTCTTTCTTGAATTTTCTATTTTTTTTTATGACAGTATTTTTCAGGTTTTTTATACAGAATCACCCAATAAGATTATTCCAGAATTTCGAAAATGCCATTCATTTGGCTCAGCAAATCGCGTGCGTCCACGAAAATCATTTGCATATCCGATAGGCACTTAGTAAGCTTAAGTAAATCAGTAATAGTTGAAAATCTTATGAGCACAAAGATTAAAAAGATAAATAAATTTTACTATAAAATTGCAAACGACTCTCCCGTTATCAAATAATAAGCTTATCATAATATTATCAAGCTTATTTTACGAACAACTTTAAGAATATTTGTGATTGCACAATTCAAAGTGTGCGTTCTTGTCAAACAATTTTCTTTCAATAACTTAATCAATTTAATATAATAAAGAAAAATAGACGAAAATATAGAAGCTGCAAAACAAAAATAATAAACTCACCTAGACTTAAAAATCCTGATTTTCAATACGAAACAAGACTAACATTTATCTTGTATAAAGCTTTATAGCTATCAACAAACAAGAAGCACGAAGAAGCCTACCTGTTGACCGCTTCCAGATCCGTATTTCACTTCGTGAGAATGTAATCTAACATTATGCTGAACATTTAAAAGCTTTACAACACTTCCACAAGTAACATACTTAAAATCTGCAATGGAACCATGAAAAAAAGTTGTTAAAAACTACCACAAAACTACCACAGGATTCGAGAACGTAAGAAATCATGTTTGTAAGTCGTTACAATAACTGAAAACTTACCATCCATATTCCCGTAAGCACATTCTGTTAATAAAGTTGCTAAAATAATCAATAAATAGGCTTTTACGACTCTAAAAGGGTTTGAAAAACAAGATAAAGTTAACTCCACGGCCGGCGCCATCTTTGAAAATCGCTACCTAACCCTAACCCTAACCCTTAAAATCTGCAATGGAACCATGAAAAAAAGTTGTTAAAAACTACCACAAAACTACCACAGGATTCGAGAACGTAAGAAATCATGTTTGTAAGTCGTTACAATAACTGAAAACTTACCATCCATATTCCCGTAAGCACATTCTGTTAATAAAGTTGCTAAAATAATCAATAAATAGGCTTTTACGACTCTAAAAGGGTTTGAAAAACAAGATAAAGTTAACTCCACGGCCGGCGCCATCTTTGAAAATKGTATGAAATGTGAACCAACGCGGCGTCTCCACATAGAAGCCTCGTTTTCATACCGGAAGTTGCTTTCGCAAGAAGGGAGAAGTTTATTCGCTTTTGCCACAACGAACACAAACGAAACACAAACACTTAATCGCAAGCAGAGGCTATATAAGAAAATTTATAGCTGTACAATTGCATGAAATATATCCTATAACCACTTGTAAGCTTTGTACACTTCTCTTTGGTATTGGGTTTCCTGTGCCCTGTCATTGCCAAAAGAATTTCACAGACAGAAATAGTTTCTAGCATTAGGAATACAACCTTTAGGGGTACTCTCACTGCCCATGCCAAGTGGTATAGGTGGTGCTTGATAATTGAGGTTGACAATAACTCTTATATCATTCATAAGACAACTTGGAAACTGATGTGATGTGGTTTGTAACCCCGCTGACCCTCTTAAAAGGTACAAATTTTAGCCACGCCCTTTATAGACCCCTTGCATGTGACGTCAAAGCAGCTTCATCTGAAGGACAAAACAAAAGATTTTTAACCTCTTGGGAACTAGAATCCATTGTTTTGTCCTCCAGTTGGAGCCGCATTCCCATGAACTGCAAGGGATCTATAGAATTCTGCTGCTATCAAACCTCATTATTACAGCAGATCTCCCATCTCCCAGGCTGATGTATACATCAGAAAATTAATTCCATACACATGAACTAGCTGATGTTGACTCTAGTTTTAATCAACATCATTATATCTCCATTAGCTACAGCTTCAAAATACATTTTTTTTATTTTTTTGGTATATTAAATTTGACATGTTTGTATTTGTATTTCTCTTAACTAGTGTTTTACATATTTCTGTGGAATTTATGCTGTTTTGTATTGTTGCATTGGAAAATCTAAAAGAAAAATAAAGAAGTTTAATGCACTCGCAACAAAACTTATTTGAAAACACTTGAATCTAATCGAGTGCAATTTTGATAATTCTTTGATTTTGACAGGAGCTTCCTCTAGTGCAATATTACAGTCGACAGTGTCACCGTCGTCGTTCTCCTTTCTGTGTTCTTTTCTTCTCTTTTTCCTTGCGTTCTTCAGCTTTTTGCTTTTGTTTTTCCTTGGCRTCTTTGATCTGCTGTTTCTTTTGTTCATTTTCATTCTTTTGTTTGTCTCGTTTCTCTTTTTCTTTTTCCATGACTGCTTGAGCATTGGTGTTTTTGAATAAATCTGAAAATATAAAATCAGGCCAAATTTTGATGTTCTGGTTGACTAAACTAACCACACACAAAAGAATTRACGATGCCCAGGCTCCAGTACTAACTACAATGAAACAGTACCAAAAGAATGGTACTGAAAAGGATGAGAACTATACTGACCTATAAAAGTATGTCCTGTTCTTATCATGCTCATAATATTGGCTTTGAGGGTCAGTTTTGTATATACCAAATTTGTATAGTTTCAAACACGACAGAGAAGGCAAGAATCTTTATACCTGATAATCTTTATACCTGATAAAACATGATCTCAAGTGTTTTAAACAGCCTCAAAAACTCCAACACTAGTTTGAAACCCAAATCTGTTAAAATTCTTGGTAAAATTGCCGTAAAAATAAATTTTGCGATAAATGGAGCAAACTGATCATGCATGAATCATTGTACAATGCATTCTTGTCATCCCACATTGAATATGCATAAAGTAAAATAGAAGCGCTGTTGGCTGTTTACTGCAATCGGTTGACATCCTGCATTGGTCAATGATCAGGTATCAAACTGAGACCTTTGCTAGGATCATGGACCTTTATATCTGATAAAGGTCACCCTTATTAGTATTCTTTATATAARGAATACTAATAAGGAGTGTTTTATCAGATATAAAGGTCCATGCATGTGACCAAATAGGCTCATCCTATTGGCCTAATAACTCATTAATTATGTATGAGTTTTTGAATAATATAAACTTCAATAAAGAATGGAATCTCAAGCAGGAAAAAGTGATATCTTTCACATGTCCTATTTCTTGCCTTATAGATACAAAAGTGTGTTTATATTATAAACAGAACATTACATGGGAGCTTGGAGATATGAATTTATCTTCTCGTGTTCCATTCATATCACACTCGTTTATACTTGATCACTCACTTGTGAGATATCAATGGAACACTCAAAGATAAAATCCATATCCTCTACATAATAAAAAATATTTTGTCCTGTTTTCGTTTTAGTAACATTTCGGCTGGGTGTTTTGTTCTTATGTACATGTACAGCCCCCAGGGAAGCAATAGATAAATGCTATTTTATTGAAATCCTGCAAGCCTCGTCTTCAGTTCTATTGTGCATGGACAAATTCAACAAAAATCTGTATGACAAAAATAATAATTATAATAACAATTTTAATATCAAAAAACCTCCTTAAAATATTTGCCAGGGGAAGGAGTAGTGTGCAAGGCAGGAATATTTTTGTTTTTTGAGATAATGCATGATTCTTGGCTTCCTGCGTATTCACATTGTTACTGAGCAAAGTATATGGAGCTTATTTGGAAGAGGAAGGTTACATTGGACCATAATACTCACCWGCTTCATTCCCAGTAAGCCTTGGGGGCACTCTCTCATTAACAGGCTCATCTTCGCTGTCACTTGTAGAAAGGAATCAAGGATACCACAAGGTAATTTAGTGATTAGAATGAACTATAGAGAAACATATCCCCTCCTACCACGGGCAGTGCTCCCCTTATTTTGTCAGGTAATAAAGCTCTCACTGCCATGTTTGGGGTTCAACTACAGCCTATCACCTACTCCCATGGGCATTGCTGCATTTAGATGCTACCACCTTAAGTTATCATTGCCATATTTGAGGTTCAACCAGGTGTAGACCAGAWAGAATACAGTAAACAAATCCTYCAATAGCTTCAAAATAGAATGTYTTTRGCCTAATGTAAGWAGATGTGAAGATGCGTGATATAGAAATAAAGGAAWGTTATAGTGCTAGGAAGGAGGTTATTCCAGGAGAAAGACCCTTGGAAATAAATTCGGAAAATTAATTTTGGACTTTGCTGGGATTCAAACCTACAACCCTCAGATTTGTACTAGCTGATGCTCTACCAGCTGAGATAAAAGGTCAGACTGGGAACAGATTGGGGTCAAATAGATGTTAGGTTGCGGTAATTAGAATGTAAATCTATGACTGTAAGAACCGCATGGCACTATGAGATACCTGATATAGAAAAAAAGGGAAGTTATAGTGCTAGATGTTATAGATGTGGAGATTGTCCAATCCCGGGGTCCAATCCTAGCCACCAGGTTTCATTATGACAGAGCACCCATCCCCCACCTCAGGGGATAAAATTGTAAGTATATCCCCACCCCCGATGAGATAATGGTTTTTTTTCAAGTAGATATTATAAAGGATATAAAGATTCTTCTTCTGATTGGTGACTGTATTCATTGAGTAACTTTTTCTTCAATTCTTCATCCACTGAGTTTGTCAMCTTGGCTGCTGAGACAGTAGCTGCTTGTTTTTCCATGATTTTWGCAAGTCTGTTTTGCTTTTCAAGAGTTTCTTGCTCTTCAAATATTACAAAATAAAAAATATCAAACAAGACAATATATAGAGGATGCTACATGGGCGCGCCGAGATATGGATTTTATCTTGAAAAGATCTGTCATGAGTGAGCGTAGCCATGTATCATATAACTACATATGAAAGCAAATTAATATGTCGTAAAATACCCTTTTTCTTACTTCCACTAGAAACCTCAAAGTGTTATTTTTTCTAGTGAAAATTTCAATTTTACGAAATAGAGAAATATAGGTATTTCATAGATAATTATATGATAAATACTGTTAAGCAACCTTTTTTTCCTTCATTCTTTTCTTTATTTTTTATTTTTGAAAACTGAATAAAATCCAAAAATCAATAGTTAACATCATGTCACTTTAAAACACACCTTTTTCGTYCTGTCTTTTCTTCAGAAGATCAGCTCTTGATAGTTTCCATCTYGTCAAGATTTCAGCYGAGACTTCTTCTGCAGGAGTCTCCTGATAWCAAATTATAAATAAATCAATAATAAGGCCATGTTGCTGAACGTTAAACTGCTCAATGAAATTCACAATTAACTTTGAGATGGGTGACAAAAATAAAATAAAAAGCAGTTCACCACATTGGTTTTTGTGCTAGAGGGCTTCAAGGTTCTAGTGTGACCTATATCTTCATACCCATACATATTATGACAGGATGTCACTAAARATTCATCTCAAAATTGTCTCATATAGACTTCTATGTTACTTTGCTATCCCTAATATGAGCAATATAAAGGAATAAAAAATAAATATTAAATCATGGTCATTCTTTAAAGGTAACATAGCATGGTCCCCTAGGTCCGCTGCCTGGCACRCACTCCTTCTCTGTTCAAATAATGTGCACAGTTTGCAAAATAAAATAATTTGGAACGGTCTTCATCCTACAATAGACATATCAAGAGATTGCTCACAGATATTTTAGCTGGATGGGAAAAATCTTTGAGTTTTGGTCATCTTTTCAAGTCATTATTACAACTATAATATTGCACTTTTAATGTAGTGGATCAATGTAGTTTTGTTTTTGTTTTTTCAGTGCACTTGTGGGTCCACTTGAATTTTGAACATCCTAAGACCTGTAATCGGCCAGAAATAATAATGTGAGGTTCAAGGAAAAACAGTCCAGCAAACATTGTGCTACTATTTAGCTTATATAATCACTATAATCACCATCACTAGTAGTTTGCTATTTCACAATCTTAAGGTGTATTAGGTGTAATTTATATCTATTTGAGGGTTTTTTTTACTTGAATTACCACAAATAACCCAAATTATAATAATAAATGAATAAAAGTATAAAGATGCAAATTTTGCTGACAAATTCAATATTTCCACGTGGTTAAGTTAAAATATATGAGCTACAGTCACAAATTATTGAAAGTCATACCCCTAAATACTGGTGTTAAATAGCAACAAAAAAGCATTGATTCTGCATTAAAACAACTCAATAATTAATACATTGCTCCTCAGATTCTTTCTTAAATAATATAAGACCTAGTTTTTTTTTCTCGTGATTTTATTCATCACTTACTGTCATTCCATCTAGAATACCAAACAGCGCTTCTTGGCGATCGTTGTCGTTTGTATCTTCTTCATCAAGGACTCCTGTCACATAAGTACAGAATACCTCTTCATCTAGTCCCATTTCTTTCAGCTTAGAGCAAAGCCAGCCTTCAAAATCACCACCACTTTCGACCTCCATGTTGGATTTTGCGAAGACGAAACAGGGTTCCCAAAAAAAACACAGGTAGCCCGAATCAAAAATATACCTTGCTCAAAAAATATCTAAATGGACTACTAACATACTAACAAATTCAATCAAATATATAAAATGGCAATAACAACTATTATCCATCAAACAATAGATTATCAAAAACACAGCATTTTGATTGTTATTGAGCTATATTCCCTGCGGTGGGGGGAGGGGAAGGGGACTCCCTTATAAAAGTTGGTAGGTATGCTCGAGAGACGGATTGAAAAATGACACTAAAAGGTATGCATAAATTTTTCCAGGTATCAATTCCAGACCCTACATGGTATGACTTTTTTTGATGTCTTAACAAGAGAAAGGTTCTGGTTTAACAAACTTTACAAAATCAGAACCCAGATAGGGCAGGAGATATGACTTCACATTGAGGGTAAAATGCGAGCAATGAAGTTATCATTCAATTTATTTTTTGACAACAGGTAATTAAGTTCAAAAAGAGTGCAAAAGCAACATACAATGGGATTGTAACGACTTATTTGATTAGTTCGATACTGATGGTTCATTTTGTTGTTTAAAAAGTCAAATCTTATATTCATAAATCTTATGAGTATCGAACCAATCAAGTAAGTTAAAAATTATGGTATAGGAATCACTGATGACAGCACCATCATTATTCARCAGATTTAAGGYTTTAATCTGGAGACCRTGAAACATGTTCGATGACATCCGTGAAATAAGCATCGACTAAAGCCTCTCTTACRGTGCGAAGACCACYRAAAKGAGCCATGTTATGTTTTAATTCATTTTTGCCRCCATTTTGATGTGATAACGTTTCCGTTGACGTTCGCGTTGTATCAGCTAAATCAAAACAACTGACGTGACCTCGTACCCAGTCTTCGAAGTGGAAACCCGGTCAAATGGCGCGTCTTGAGCTAYKCGYGTCTTCATGCTAAATCACTCTAATGACTCCCCTAGACTTTTAAAATTTTGACATTCTAGAAGATTGGRTAAGCTTTTATTTTCTTAAGCTTCTGTTTCTGGTGCCCTGATTCACATGTAAATCTTACCATGCCTGTCGTACAAAGGGTAGAGATTTTGTATGGATTCTATCTGGTGAATATAGATCCATCTGGTCAAACATGTTAAAGAGTGTTATTAACCCCTTCCTAGGGACTGTTCATTTATCATTCCTAAGATGCAGCAATAGGAGCTAAGTTTTGCTTCCACGATGAGATGCAATTTTTGCCAACAGACCATAAGGGAGGTATGCTTTAAAATTTTTTCTTATTTTTGGGGGGAGGGGGAGTATTACTTCGTTTGACGTGCTGCTTTAAATGCGTAAAACATCACCACCCTATTATAACAATAATTAATGAACAGTCCCCTACAACCAGCTACTGCATATTGTCATAGAGGGAACTGGTCACAGCAACATATCAGAATTTTGACATACTAGACTCTTTTTCATWTTTCAATAGACATGATGAAACCATTCTGAAGTATTGTTATTATGTTGAAGTTGTGTTAGCCTTATTGCATGTAGGATGCCTGTATAAGTAGAGTTGGCTTTTATACATGCATGGTATATTTTCTGTAATTTTTTTCAGCTTTCTGGGTCTCTTTCTGAATTAAGACTGCTTGTATCATGATATTCTACTTTGCTCTAGCCCTGTTGTTGAATGTTCTGCAGTGTATGCTATCATTTCTGAAGAGAAATTGTTTCTCCTGCAATAACCATTCCAAGTTGATCATCTCTCGCACAAACTGCCTTCATATTTTCACCTCGTTCGAGCAGAAATCCAAACCCAAGATGTGACATCGCATGCCAGTCCAAACAGGAACACCCACAACGGKATAAACACCAAATAGTACGATGCAGCTATCATACCTTCAAGCTTTGCACCAAGAACAAACAAAAATGTCAATTTACTAGCAATAAGAAAGAAAAACCAAAGTTTCCGTCGCAAGCTGAAGTCACTGTGTTGGCCGTAACCATTTCTCAAATGTTGAATACTGCGAACAGAAATGTAGCACAAAAGCACAAAGTCGAACACAAAAAACGGGATAAATACAATGAACCAAAACCAAGTAGTTTCTCGGTCTAAGCGAATCACWAGGAAGATCAAGAAGAGGAGAAAAACGCACCAAAGTGACAGAATTCKGTGAACAGTCGCCATATTGAATACTTCAGTTTTTAGAGGGAGACTGGGACTAATATAGTTTTCCTGTCGGTCGCGGAAAATACTCTCATGGAAGCCACTGACATATACCATGTGTACCTTGGTTCTCTTTGTAAGATCCATTAATCCTAAACGTGCTTTTGAGTCATAACGAATTCTTTTAGTATGAATTTTAAGGCTATACCTATAAATTGAGGGACAAAGTAAGCTTTAAAACGGAGTTATCGATTATACAGTTTAAGAAAAATGGCTTCCGCGTCTAGTTCCACTTCCTTCGCCGTTACAAATCCATTTGAAGAATTAATTGGTCAACTTAACAACGAACTCAAATCTATAGATGTTGAAGTTGTAAAACGTGAGCTATTTAGCAGAATCCCGCTAAGTAAGTACGGGCATTTTACTGCTATTCAAAATGCCAGGTCTGGACCTGAGTTGATATCGATTCTTCGCGGATGTAGTTTTTTATCCGCCCTTAATTTGGGATTGTTGAAGGATCTTCTTAAAGCCCTGAAGAGTGAAGTACTCCTTTCTAAGGTGGAAGAGTTCGAAAAATCTGAGCAGATGAATCGTAAGTGAGTTAAATGCGGGGACAATCTTACATGTCTTACATGGATGAGGAGTTTCGGCCATCTTGAAAAGTGAGAGTTGCTGATTTAACTAATCTATCTTTATGTCGTATTATTTAACAAATAGATCTCATTTTTCCGTGCGTGTGTACTCTAATAGATACACAGATGACGTCAAAATGTAGTGAGAACAAAAAAGTACGCACGAGACGCAGTCGAGTGCGTGACTGTTGTTCTCACTACATTTTGACGTCATCTGTGTATCTATTAGAGTACACACGCACGGAAAAATGAGATCTATTTGTTAAATAATA